GCACCAGCTACTGCATTACTACTTCTAAAACACCTGCTAGTATGTTACACATGCAGCTGTTTAGCACAAAACTGAAATATTTACAGCGACTGAAGTGTGTGATGAATCATTTAAGTTAAAAATTATTTGTATCTTTTATCAATCATGTGTCAGTCCCACTCGTTTAGAGCGATACAACAGAAAATCAGTTTGGGGCTAGTTTAATAGATAATGAATAAATGGCAATCAATCAATTAAATCATTTAACTTTTATTTCAAGTGCCCCTATTATGCCCTTTTGAAGGTTCCCAATATTGTTTTGGGAGTCTCCTACAAGAGGTTTACATGCATGCAAGGTCAAAAAACGCTTTCGTTTTCTCAAAATATGCATTTAATATCACCTCATTTTCCAACGATTCTCAAACGATTCATTCGAAGCAGTTCTAAGATTCAGTCTCTCTAAAACCCTCCTTTTTAGTGAGCCTACTCTGCTGTGATTGGTCAGATGGCCCAGTCTGTTGTGATTGGTCTACCGTGTACAGCACGTTTCAGAAATGATATGCCCATTGCCTTAGTTCCATACTTTGAATGCTCAATAGAAAATATAATCATCTATTATTTATCATACTTACAGGTTGTGATTCAGTGAAGCCAGCTGGTCCAAATTAGTCTTGCGTAGCCAGACCTTCAGACTGAAGGCAGAAGGTCTGGGAACCTTGGCCAAGGACCGCCCAAGACAGGTAAAGCAACCAATCACATTTTGTTTTGTGCCGTGTCATGTTTAGAGGTGTGGAAATGTCCCCACAAGCTACAGTGTTTGAGGGTGGGTCAAGTCGTTTGCGGCTGGCCAATGTAGAACATAGGTGGGCAGGCATTATGCAAATGAGTTACCCTGTGACATGTAGCTGTCACGGAAATGGGATTTTAATTACTGACGACTCATTTAGGCTATTCAGGGTCGATTCTTTCATTTGGGAGACAATAACTTTATTTATCGTGCACTTTTGGCTTTACAACTTTGCAGATCGTTTACATTCACATACAGCTACATTACACACTGCATGAAAGGTAATATTCAAAATGGCATAATAGGGGCACTTTAATTAATTGAAACTTGAAGGACTCTTAAGGAGGGCTGAAGACTCTCCAGTTACTTTGAATGCTGCTTTTTTGAAATACATTTTGACTAACACAGGGTCATGACGCAGTGATTGTCTTCTGAGATTCCATCATCTTTGCACAGGAAGAGAAATGTGAACGGGGTCAGTACAGTCAGGGAACGTCAGCATCCAGCACTGTTACTTAAGCAACAAATATTTTTAAAGGTGAAGGAGTTAAAGTTCACTAATGGACGCATTCGCGTCTCCACTCTTACCAGAAGAATCAGCATGGCTCTTTCTCCATAAAAATGCTAATCCAGACGCACGTCTGTCCTGGAGTGGCGGAGAGGGGGAGAGACGAAGCAATTACTAAAGCATTAGCGTGATAGCAGGCGTTCCTCTCTCGGGGTGAGGGCTCTAATGACCACCGCGTCACTTTATTAATATGCAGGCGAACCATAGTGGAGTCCCTGCATCCTCTAGATAGCAAAGCCTTCTGTTCACTAGCCTCTGATTGGTTTTATGAATACCTCATGATTTCCTGCAGTGCCAAACTGGGGTCCGTTCTATTCACAGAGTACTGAAATCACACAGTGTGAAACACTGGGTGAATATTGTAAAAAGTGTCAAGAATATGCCAGAATCAAAGTTCACCCCAAACTGAAAAAAAAACAATATATATATATTTATATATTAGGGCTGCACGATAAATCGCATGCGATATTTAACGCGCATCTTGTCAGTAAAGCCATTCTGTAATCAGCGGTAAATCTCCATCACGTGCGTGCTTTCACATTGAGCAGCATTAACTACACAGACAGGTTGTTCACTGACGCGTTAAATATCGCATGCGATTTATCGTGCAGCCCTAATATATATATATACATATTTTGCATAAAGCATGTAAACAAAGAGTTTTGTGCCTTAGATTATGGTCATATTTCATGTCAGTTAAATGGACAGTCCACCCAAAAGTGAAAATTGTCATTATGTCCTTCATGTTATTCCAATTATGACTTTGAACTATTATGACCTTACAGTTATGACCTCCTTCTGTGGAACATTATTTGGATTGTTAGATTATAAATTGGATTATTTTTATTATATTTTATTTATAAAAAAGCTCTGGAAAAAAATTAAGATACCACTGCAAAATTATAAATGTCTCTGGTTTTACTATTTATAGGTATGTGTTTGAGTAAAATGAACATTTATTTCCCAAATTCCAAATAAAGCATTTATTTGCAGAAAATGACAACAAAATAAAAGATAATAATAATAAAAACAAAAGATGCAGTGAGATCAGATCTCAAATAATGTAAAAAAAACAACACAATACTAAAACAACACAATACTAATGTTTTAACTTTGGAAGAGTTCAGAAATCAATATTTGATGGAATAAACCTGATTTTCAATCACCGCTTTCATGTGTCTTGGCATGCTCTCCACCAGATTTTCACATTGCTGTTTGGTGACTTTATGCCACTTCTGGTGCAAAAACTCAGGCAGCTCGACTTTTTTGATGGCTTGTGACCATCCATCTTGCTCTTGATCACATTCCAGAGGTTTTCAATTAGTTTAGATCTGGAGTTTGGGCTGGCCATGACAGGGTCTTGATCTGGTGGTCCTCCACCAACACATTGATTGACCTGGCTGTGTGGCACAGAGCATTGTCCTGCTGGAAAAATCAATCCTCAGAGTTGGGGAACATTGTCAGAGCAGAAGGAAGCAAGTTTTCTTCCTGGAAAACCTTGTACGTGGCTTGATTCACGTGCCATTCACAAAGACAAATGTGCCCGATTCCAGCCTTGCTGCAGCACCCCCAGATCATCACTGATCCTCTACCAAATTTCACAGTGGGTGTGATACACTGTGGCTTGTAGGCCTCTCCAGGTCTCCGTCTAACCATTACACCATGTCTACACCGGACGTGACAGTTGTCGTGTTGTACCACGCCATGCTGCAACAGCTAAAGTCTGTCTACACTGGACGAGACCACGTGACCGTTGCAAATCATTTGTACTTTGTGTCAGCACATCATAAATAGAACGAGGCATCAGTATACTGTCAGGGATTTGTCGTTTCGCATCGCGCCGTGCCACATCCAGTGTAGACAGCATCACTGATTATAATGGGTTCTACTGTCGCATTGCGCCGCTCACGTCCGGTGGAGACACAGTGTTAGACAACCAGATGTTGGGCAAAGCTGAAAATTGAAAGTCCAAGCCTTATGGTCTTTTGCAAACCTCAGCCTGGTTCTTCTTTTCTTCTCATTAATGAAGGGCTATTTTCTAGCTTTGCACAACTTCTGCCCTGCCCCAAGAGTTTGTTTCAAACCATTCTTGCTGTGCACTTCACCTCGGCTGCCGTTTGCCATTCTTTCTGTAGGTCACTTGATGTCATCCTACGTGTATTGAGTGACATTCGAATGAGTTAGCGGCAGGGCCGGCGCCAAACGAGTTACTGTGCCCCTCCCCTCCTTACCCCCTTGATAAATGTGATCAATATTGGAAGCAAAAGTGAAACTGGAAAAATCATCAGCAACTGCACGTGATAGCAGATTGCACGTTTCCCATCCGAAACAACCCCCCCCCCCCCCCCC